AGTGTGTATATATATGTCTGTTGGTTAGATGAACATTTTAAATGTACTACAACCACCTTCTGTGGTTGATTGTTCAATAAATCAGTGAACTATATGTTTAACAGATCTCTCACCCTGTCCATGGAGGACAGAAAGATATGTATGCATGCTGGTTAGCACTGTAAATGTGTGGCCACGTCTGTGGTAGAATATAATAATAAAAACAACACCTCAACCTCACACTACACACTACAACCTGCGTGTTAAGTGTGAGTGGCATAGTAGACTGAAGGTAGGCAGTTACCAACCTTCCCGCAGTATGTTATCAGGATGACACTGTACCCACCCGCTATAACCATTAACAATGGGTACAATACCCCGCTAATAATTGGTCCCTGGAGGGCCGGCCTAAGCAGACAATACCTTGTGTTACCTGATGTACAGGTGACAGTTACTGACTGTATGGGTCCCGTCACTGCCTCTGCTCTCTCCACCTCCGCCCTCCCTCCGCCCGCCCTCGCGCCCGCCCTCGCGCCCGCCCTCGCGCCCGCCCTCCGCCCGCCCTCGCGCCCGCCCTCGCGCCCGCCCTCGCGCCCGCCCTCCGCCCGCCCTCGCGCCCGCCCTCGCGCCCGCCCTCGCGCCCGCCCTCCGCCCGCCCTCGCGCCCGCCCCCGCACCCGCCCCCGCGCCCGCCCTCGCGCCCGCCCCCGCGCCCGCCCTCCGCCCGCACGACCCACGTGCCCGCCCTCGCGCCCGCCCCCGCCCGCCCTCAGTGTTGTGTTGGTATGGTCCTGCCTCCGGTGCTGTGGCTATGACCTTCTAACGGGGTGGAAGGTTATGTCTCACGCCAGCTCCGTCTTACTGAGCCTTCAGTCTCCTGACTGATGGACGCCCTGCCTCCCCCCCCCCCTGCCTCACAACCCTTCCCTCATATCTATATACTCCTCACAACACCCTCCTTACATTATATACAATGACAAATATGAACAAAATAAACTACCATCAGTACTCATTATTAAACACCACATATGTTTGGGTGAAGAAATTATTTGAATCTCATTTAAATCGGCTTAGCCATACCCACAACCCGCCCCACTCACTCACAGTCGCACACAATAACACAGGTGTAGACCAACAGGATGCTGGCTACTTCTGTAAATTATTGCCACGTCTGTGCTACAAAATAAAGTAAGAAAAAAAAAAGGACTCACAGACAGAAAAGCAATACCTATGAATGTCAGCCCAAAACCTGTATTTCCATTCACGTCCCCAAATTAAGCTCTCGCGCACACACAAAACACTTCACCTTCAACACATTCAAGTAATAAACACAAAACAAATCACCACAAGTACATGACACGATTTGACTCATGTTTTATACCAGAATAAATAAATAACACAACATCGAATCTCAAAGATGTAGTAATGCCGCTCACGAAACCTGAACGACCGAAGACTACATCAATGACGGTAATTGAAAGTTGGAAAACTTCAAACAGGAAATGAGCCCCGTAGGAGCGAGCACCTCAGGTTAATGGGCAAGACTCACACTGCAGGGAAACTGGACAACTAATGAGGTAGAGGTGTGGCACCTACCTCCAAGATATAGAGAACTGCAAGCCACAAGGGAGAATTACAGGCCAGGGGTTACAAGCCACAGGGAAGAATTACAGGCCAGGGGTTACAAACCACAAGGGAGAATTACAGGCCAGGGATTACAAGCCACAGGGAAGAACTACAGGCCAGGGGTTACAAGCCACAGGGGAGAATTACAGGCCAGGGGTTACAAGCCACAGGGGAGAATTACAGGCCAGGGGTTACAAGCCACAGGGGAGAACTACAGGCCAGGGGTTACAAGCCACAGGGGAGAATTACAGGCCAGGGGTTACAAGCCACAGGGAAGAATTACAGGCCAGGGGTTACAAGCCACAGGGGAGAATTACAGGCCAGGGGTTACAAGCCACAGGGGAGAATTACAGGCCAGGGGTTACAAGCCACAGGGGAGAATTACAGGCCAGGGGTTACAAGCCACAGGGGAGAATTACAGGCCAGGGGTTACAAGCCACAGGGGAGAATTATAGGCCAGGGGTTACAAGCCACAGGGGAGAATTACAGGCCAGGGGTTACAAGCCACAGGGGAGAATTACAGGCCAGGGGTTACAAGCCACAGGGGAGAATTACAGGCCAGGGGTTACAAGCCACAGGGGAGAATTACAGGCCAGGGGTTACAAGCCACAGGGGAGAATTACAGGCCAGGGGTTACAAGCCACAGGGGAGAATTACAGGCCAGGGGTTACAAGCCACAGGGGAGAATTACAGGCCAGGGGTTACAAGCCACAGGGGAGAATTACAGGCCAGGGGTTACAAGCCACAGGGGAGAATTACAGGCCAGGGGTTACAAGCCACAGGGGAGAATTACAGGCCAGGGGTTACAAGCCACAGGGGAGAATTACAGGCCAGGGGTTACAAGCCACAGGGGAGAATTACAGGCCAGGGGTTACAAGCCACAGGGGAGAACTACAGGCCAGGGGTTACAAGCCACAGGGGAGAATTACAGGCCAGGGGTTACAAGCCACAGGGGAGAATTACAGGCCAGGGGTTACAAGCCACAGGGGAGAATTACAGGCCAGGGGTTACAAGCCACAGGGGAGAATTACAGGCCAGGGGTTACAAGCCACAGGGGAGAACTACAGGCCAGGGGTTACAAGCCACAGGGGAGAATTACAGGCCAGGGGTTACAAGCCACAGGGGAGAATTACAGGCCAGGGGTTACAAGCCACAGGGGAGAATTACAGGCCAGGGGTTACAAGCCACAGGGGAGAATTACAGGCCAGGGGTTACAAGCCACAGGGGAGAATTACAGGCCAGGGGTTACAAGCCACAGGGGAGAATTACAGGCCAGGGGTTACAAGCCACAGCGGAGAATTACAGGCCAGGGGATACAAACCACAAGGGAGAATTACAGACCAGGGATTACAAGCCACAGGGAAGAACTACAGGCCAGGGGTTACAAGCCACAGGGGAGAACTACAGGCCAGGGGTTACAAGCCACAGGGGAGAACTACAGGCCAGGGGTTACAAGCCACATGGGAGAACTACAGGCCAGGGGTTACAAGCCACAGGGGAGAACTACAGGCCAGGGGTTACAAGCCACAGGGGAGAACTACAGGCCAGGGGTTACAAGCCACAGGGGAGAACTACAGGCCAGGTGTTACAAGCCACAGGGGGAGAACTACAGGCCAGGGGTTACAAGCCACAGGGGAGAACTACAGGCCAGGGGTTACAAGCCACAGGGAAGATTACAAGCCACAGGGGAGAACTACAGGCCAGGGGTTACAAGCCACAGGGGAGAACTACAGGCCAGGGGTTACAAGCCACAGGGGAGAACTACAGGTCAGGGGGTTACAAGCCACAGGGGAGAACTACAAACCAGGGGTTACAAGCCACAGGGAAGAACTACAGGCCAGGGGTTACAAGCCACAAGGGAGAACTACAGGCCAGGGGTTACAAGCCACAGGGGAGAACTACAGGCCAGGGGTTACAAGCCACAGGGGAGAACTACAGGCCAGGGGTTACAAGCCACAGGGGAGAACTACAGGCCAGGGGTTACAAGCCACAGGGGAGAACTACAGGCCAGGGGTTACAAGCCACAGGGAAGAATTACAGGCCAGGGGTTACAAGCCACAGGGGAGAACTACAGGCCAGGGGTTACAAGCCACAGGGGAAACTACAGGCCAGGGGTTACAAGCCACAGGGGAGAACTACAGGTCAGGGGGTTACAAGCCACAGGGGAGAACTACAAACCAGGGGTTACAAGCCACAGGGAAGAACTACAGGCCAGGGGTTACAAGCCACAAGGGAGAACTACAGGCCAGGGGTTACAAGCCACAGGGGAGAACTACAGGCCAGGGGTTACAAGCCACAGGGGAGAACTACAGGCCAGGGGTTACAAGCCACAGGGGAGAACTACAGGCCAGGGGTTACAAGCCACAGGGAAGAATTACAGGCCAGGGGTTACAAGCCACAGGGGAGAACTACAGGCCAGGGGTTACAAGCCACAAGGGAGAACTACAGGCCAGGGGTTACAAGCCACAGGGGAGAACTACAGGCCACAGGGGAGAACTACAGGCCAGGGGTTACAAGCCACAGGGGAGAACTACAGGCCAGGGGTTACAAACTACGGTAAAGAGCCAGATGCCATATGAAAATGTCACATTAGATGATCTATAATCCCTATGGTCATAGAATCACAAGCCATAGGGGAAGCTATAAGGGAAGCTTCAAGCCTCAGGGAAGCTAATGGGAGAGCTACAGGAGAAGCCATAAGGGAGCCACAAGCCGCAGGGAAGCCACTGGGGAGAGGCACAAGCCGCAGGGAAGCCACTGGGGAGAGCCACAAGCCGCAGGGAAGCCACTGGGGAGAGGCACAAGCCGCAGGGAAGCCACTGGGGAGAGCCACAAGCCGCAGGGAAGCCACTGGGGAGAGGCACAAGCCGCAGGGAAGCCACTGGGGAGAGCCACAAGCCGCAGGGAAGCCACTGGGGAGAGGCACAAGCCGCAGGGAAGCCACTGGGGAGAGGCACAAGCCGCAGGGAAGCCACTGGGGAGAGCCACAAGAAGCCACTGTGGAGAGCCACAAGCCGCAGGGAAGCCACTGGGGAGAGGCACAAGCCGCAGGGAAGCCACTGGGGAGAGCCACAAGCCGCAGGGAAGCCACTGGGGAGAGGCACAAGCCGCAGGGAAGCCACTGGGGAGAGGCACAAGCCGCAGGGAAGCCACTGGGGAGAGGCACAAGCCGCAGGGAAGCCACTGGGGAGAGCCACAAGCCTCAGGGAAGCCACTGGGGAGAGCCTCAAGCCGCAGGGAAGCCACTGGGGAGAGCCACAAGCCGCAGGGAAGCCACTGGGGAGAGCCACAAGCCGCAGGGAAGCCACTGGGGAGAGCCACAAGCCACAGGAGAAGCCAGTAATGTAGTCATAAGCCACCAAGTAAAGATCCAGACTGAGACAGCGGTGAGGTTACCTTTGAGAACCATAAAGACACGCACCATCCTCGCTCCACACTGGCCTCACCACTACTGCGGGTCCTTGTGGACCTGACCCCTCTGTGTGTGTGTGTGTGTGTGTGTGTGTGTGTATGTGTGTGTGTGTGTGTGTGTGTGTGTGTGTGTGTGTGTGTGTGTGTGTGTGTGTGTGTGCGCGTGTGTGTGTGTGTGTGTGTGTGTGTGTGTGTGTGTGTGTGTGTGTGTGTTTGTTTTTATCTAATTATGTTAACGGAGAGGTCCAGAGAGCACTAAAGGAGAGCGAGCTTCAGCTCTAGACCCCCGCCACATTACTTTACTCCATGATGCCATGTGCACGTGATGCCGTGCCCGCGCGCAGTCATACATGATCATGAAGTTGTCAGCGGAGGATGCTTCCACCAGCTCTGGTCCAAGGTCAGGCCACTTGATTACCACTCTCTCTCTACACGAATCTTTCCTTGCTTCTGGCTGGTTAATCTTTGTTCCCGGCATCCACTGTGCGTGTGTGTGTGTACTCACATAGTTGTACTCACCTAGGTGACTGTGTACGGTCGAGTATCTGCTCTTAAGCCCCACCTTTCGACCATCATTAGTTAAATGCAGTGACTCTTTTACTCTCTTTTTCTTATCATATTTACATTAAAAGTTGTACACAGACAAACCACATTAACGTGATATATCAATAAAGAAATCCACAGGAGCTTTGATGAGGGTTCGAACCTATGTGCTGGGTGTTCCCAGGTGCACTCCAGTCGACTAGAGCGCACCTGCGAACACCCAACGCATAGGTTCGAACTCCTCCTCAAGGCTCCTTTGGATTTGTTCATTTAAAGTTGTGTACCGAATTTGCTTTGACAACTTCCGCATGTTGTCCGTTCCTCTTATTTACGACTCTGAGACTGAAAAGTTCTTCCCGACATCTCTGTGATTCACTTGTGTTTCCAATTCCAAAATTTCAATTTTTTTTTCTAATTCCAATTTCAAAAAGAGCATGGTCTACATTCTTTTGACCATGTCGTGGCGTAGTGGTCTAGAGCGTGCATCTGGGAACACCCAGCACATAGGTTCGAATCCTCATCACGGCTCCCGTGGATTTTGTCAGATATATCACGATAATGTGATTTCTCTGTATATACTTGGTAGTTATATCGGCTTGTAGTTCACTGGCTCCTGTTTTTTCCTTTCTTACATTAGTACCACATTTGCCACTTTTCGAATGTCATAAAGTTCCTGAATTCCTAATGAGAAGTAATAATGAAAAGAAGGCACCAAGTCGGGGAGGCTGTGTAGCACCATCAAATGTGCGGGATATTCAAGAGGCGCTAAATATCACCAAGGACGCCAATATGAGAACAGAAGCACTTTCGCTTCTTTTTAAGGCGAACAACATCAAAGGTATCCAATTCACCAATGATACTACTGAGGGACAAGTGACGGCGAGGGATGGTCGGGAAGCAAGACACACACACACACACACACACACACGCACACACACACACACACACACACACACACACACACACACACACACACACACACACACACACACACACACACACACACACACACACACACACACACACACACACACACACACACACACACACACACACACGCGCACACACACACACACACACACACACACACACACACACACACACACACACACACACACACACACACACACACACACACACACACACACACACACACACACACACACACACACACACACGCACACACACACACACACACACACACACACACACACACACACACACACACACACACACACATTCTGGAAGTTCCGACATTCAACAAGAATATGCACGACTGTAAGAGCGACAATGCAGTTTGGACAATAAGGAGCAGGGCGGCGCTTCATTAAGTGTCTAAGTTAAATGTGTATGGCTAATACGTAATCTCGCCAGAGCCATTTCCCACCACCGGTTACGGTGGTAGAAGGAAGGCCATGGAGACACGCTACCCTTAAGAGCATGCAATTTGTTAAGAGTAACAGAAGACGAGCGATCCTGCACACGGGCACGGATTGAGGAATGACTAACTGAACACCGGAATAAGGAACACCTTCGTGGGAAATGGGACAAGTGTGGATAGCCTCCTTAGCAGCAGTGTCTGCACGCTCATTTAAGGACACACCAATATGGCTGGGAACCCATCAAAACTTCACTGTCTTAAATCTGCTGGAGATAAGAGTCAATGTTGAATTTCGACGACCACCGGATGGACTGGATTAAAGGACTCCAGAGCCATGAGGGCACTGCGAGAGTCAACTACAACAACAAAGGAAGATTAACAGCAAGAAAGCAGTTGACGAAGAGCATACAAAATAGCATAAAGTTCTGCCGTGAAGATGCTAGTGTCCGGAGGCAGGCGACACATATAGGTGTGGTCAGGAAATTCAACGGAGTAGCCTACACCGTCGGCAGACTTGGACCCCATCTGTAAAGATGGAAATGACACGGGAGTGTGAAGAACGGTGAGCAAGGAAAATGCGTTTCAGACTGTAGGTGGGGTAAAAGCTTTTGCCATGTGGGTCAGGTTTTACAAAACGTAGGAAGAAGGACTCCATCGGGGCAAGGATGGAATGACACGAGGAGAAACATTGGTAACATGAACCGAGAGAGAACAATCGTTCAGAAAGGGGAAGGTGGTGAAAGGGAACAGGACTCACAGAGAGGTAATGTTCAAAGTGCGACATAAGCGAGAGTGAGGGTGTTGTAGGGACCGTGCAAAGTAGCGAAGACAGTAACGATCACTGCGATCCTGTAGAGACAGGACGCCAGTTTCAGTATACCGGCTCAGGGTAGGAGACGAACGAAAGACACCAGAGCTGAGGCGGAGCCCAGTATGGTGAAGCGCATTAAGACGGCGAAGAGTTGAGGGAGAGGTAGACGAGCAAGCAAGACAGCTATAATCAAGTTTAGACAGCACGAGAGAGGAATTTGAAGGAGGAGCGTGCACCTATCAGCTTCCCAGGAAGTATGGAACAAGACCTTAAGTAAGCCAAGAGCCTTAGAGCATTCAACTCAGAGGTATGAGACAAGAGGCGACCATGACAAACGAGTGTCAAAGATAAACCCCAAAAGTTTAGCATAATCTTTGTACAAAAGAGGATCACCATAAAGCAACAAAGGGGGACGAAGAACAACCTGCTTCCGAGTCTTAGCACAATTCGTATTTGTGAAGAACTTGAATCCATGATTGGTGGCCCAGGACTAACCTGCATCAATCGGAAGTTGAAGACGCCGTTGGAGGAAAGGCGACTCATTACCTTGACAGCAAAAGGTAAGATCGTCAACATAAAAAGCTGAGAAAATGTCAGAGGGAAGGGAGGAAAAAAAAAACATTGAGGGCAACCAGGGAAAAAAGGGTAGTGTTCAGAACACTACCTTGGGCTACACCTTCGTATTGCTGAAAAGAGGCAAAGAGTGGTACCACGCCTCACTCTAAAGGACCTAAGGACCACTTCAGACGGACATTGACCATATGTTCAAAGAGTTTGCAGACGCAACTCGTTAGAACAATGGGGCGGTAGTCCTAAGGAGATGTTCTTAGAGAACCTAGTTTCCGAATAGGAAGAATAATCACCTTATTAAAAAAAAGGATAAAGCCAGTTCTCAGGGACTGACGACGACTCCCAGATAAGGTAAAAATATTCAGTAAATACTGAAACGTGCTTGAAGGGAGATGGCGAAGTATCTCATAATGAATGTCATCTGAGCCCGCTGCACAGAACCACAGAGGGCCAGGGCAGACTGAAGTTCTGAGAGAGAGCAAAGAGATCGTTATAGGGAAGCTAGAGATGTGTGTGAAAATCTAAAGGACACGATTCAAGAAGGTGCTTACGTGTAAGGAAATGGGCAGAAGATGAGAATCGGAGCTAACAGTCGAAAAGCGTGAACCCAGCTCTGTCGCCACCGATACTGGACGCGCCAGAACAGAATCACGGAGGTGAAGGACTGGCGAGACATTTGGAACGAACGTTCCCACGATCTTATGGATACTTTTACTGATCTGGGGCAGAGGAGTGTCAGTTGTAATAGTGGAGACTTAAGATTTCTAACTGTTATGCTTAGTGATGCAGATGGTTGTATGGGCCACCACACTCACCTTCCAAAAAAAAAAAAAAATAACTCATTATGTAGGGGGTCAGGAAACCAGCGTGCATTCTTAAACATTAGGATTATACTAAGGTCTAAGGTACCCCCCCCAAGGTCGAATTACTGACCCTGCCCAGGATGCAACCCAACAACAAGCCGATTAACTCCTAATTACCTATATACACTGTTAGGTGAAAAGAGCATTAGGTGATAGGAAATGCACAAAACCATTTCTATTCTGTCCGAGATTTGAACCTGGAATTCTCGATTGTGAGTCGAGAACAAACCTGAATATACTACGGGAAAATAAAACAACCAGGCGTCTGATGGTGCCAGTGTTTCTTCCAAGCTGCATGCTTACAGTGGACCGCCCGAGCGCAGTCTGCGTTCCACCAGAGAATGCACTTCCGTGTGCCCCTGGAGGTAGAGCGTGGAATCGAGCAGAGGGCAGCATATAAAAACAGTGTTATAAAAGAGGAGGAGGGCTTGAGGGAGAGGCAGATAAGAGAGGGCAGAAAGTGTAGTGCGTAAGGTGAAGAGGTTCCAGTCAGCCTTTGCAAACTGCCACCTTAGGAAGGAGAGGGGAGGGTGAAAGAGAACGTGACAAGGATTGGAAAACGGTCACTGTTATGGAGGTCATCAATAACGCGCCACGTGAAATTTAAATAAAGAGAATACAAGCAGAGAGAAAGATCAAGACAGGAAAGGGTGTGAGTGCAGGTCAACATGAGTGGGTTCACCAGAATTCAGAAGAGACAAAGAAGAAGAAGAGAGGACAAATGGTTTAAGAACGCAGGCCCGGGTGTTTACCGGAATTAATTTTGCCCCAGAGGGTATGACGACAACTAAAATCCCCCAAAATGAGCAGAGGTTCCAGTAAATAGTTCAACAGGTGTTTAAGATCAGAAAGAGAAAGAGAAACATTTGGTGT